ATACACTCTAGCTTCATGCAGATTAGCTCATCACTAGTGTTTCATAATTGTGTGACCTATCTCTGATTCAGCTAGCATTCTGTGTACACTCTCACAAAGAAACTTTCACTATATTACATCACTCATTCACTAACTTTTCTCATTCTTCAATCATCATCTTCATTATTGTCATCATTGAATGTCATTATCTCATTCAAGATTTCTATTCCTTCTTCTGTTCAACTCTTTTCATCTGTTCATTTATTATATTGTATGTGTTTCTGACAATAACTCTCTGTTCTCATAATAAGTATCATTGTAGTGCTTATACTGAGCAGTTCATTAGCAGTAAGTGTAATGCATTGTGAAATATGATCAGAACTTGTTTATCTTCTAATGATTATCAGAATAACATATTATCATGAATGATAACACATCTTCTTCATCTTCTTATACACTCTTGATCATTTCTCTTCTCAGTGAGTTTCTGATCATGTTTTCTAACATGATTTTGCATAGATGCAGATGCTGATATGTTGTTTTTATTCATGTAGAATCTTCACACATTGACAGATCTGTATTCACTGATGATAGTGAACCTGATGTTGTATTCTTGATTGAGAACTTGAAGAATGTGATAATAAAGAAATTATCTATGTCATATGTGACTGAGTCTCCTGCATTCTTTCTTACCTCTTCTACTGCTTCTTTCTCTGCTGCTTCTCTCTCTGTCTCTTTCTCTGTCACTTCTCAATCTTCTACACTTGTCCCTGTGTCTGGTTCTCCCGCTCCTGCTACTCCTGTTTCTGTGACCTCTGATTTTACTGTCTCTGCTTTCATTACTAGCTCTTCTCATTTCAAGAAGATATTGCATAGACTTAATGAACTACATCTCTCAGTATGTACACTTCTGCTCTTCTTACTGACTTTCAGAATGATTTATTATATAAAGATGATATACAACACAACTATCTGAAGCTCAGTCACAGACACTGATTATTATATTCATTTTAAATATTCATGATAAGACAATTATTCATTCATATCAGAGAATTATTTCTCTTCTTAACAGTGTTAAGATTGTAAGTCTTTTTCTTTTTCATCTTTTCTTTCTGACACTGATTTTTCTGTTCTTAGAGAAAATTATTATGAGTTTTACTATGTATGAAGTTGTAGTGTTCACAGATATCAAGAAGCTTTTTACAACTGTAAAGTTTAACATTGCAGAGACATTCACTCTGGCAAATTTCTTTGAAATGATAGATTCATATCAGCCTATTCTCTGATGTCTGTCATCTGACTTTGTGATGCAGGCAAAAGATATCCATGTTTTCAGAAATGAGAACACAGATGTTGTACTCTTTTACACTCACAGATGTGAGGCTTGTACACCTTGTCTGAGATGTTGTTATAAGAATGAGCTGTTCACATGCTGCATTCTGCTTCCTGCATTTCTCTGTGTCTCTCTCTCTCTTTCTGAGAAGCCTTGTGTGTGTTGTAATTGCATGTACAACTCTAAGATCAGTGAGTGTTTATTTAGTAACTGTTCTCATCTCTGATTTTGTAATTTTCATACACTAACAATGATTCTTAGTTGCTCTGATGTCAGAGGCCATTCTGATCAAAGATGATAATGTCACTGAAACTACTCTCTTCTACTCTCAAGCTTCTTCTGTTGCTTTCTCTTTCTCTTCTGCAGGGAAGGCTGTGTGTACACTGAGTTGTAAGTGTTTGACCTCAGATAGCTTCTGTCATTTGTTCAGTTCTGTGTCTCTCTCTTTCATTTCTTCTGTCTCTGCTCTCTCTTTCTTGACTTCTGATTCTGTGAGTTCTGCACTCTTCTCTAATTTTTCTATGCATACATGTATGCATTCCTATATTGGCATTCCAGTCAATCTTGTGATAAATAACATTAATGTTGTATACAGAGCAGTAGAGGAATCAGAGACATGCATGACATTGTTGTAAGAGCAGCTTGCAGCTCTTGAATCCCTTGCAGACCTTGAGTTTTGAGATTTCCTTTGTTTTTGATGTTTTTTGAGTGATGTGGTGTTGAAAATAGATTAACATGTAGTGTATGAAAATGAATGAGATGTGTATAATAACATTTGTCTTTTTGCAGCTGATTCTTACAGTTGATGATTAATTCATTATTCCTTTTCTTTTCTTACACTTTTTCTTTGTCTACTAGTCACTACTCTTACACAATCTCTATATAATACAGTGTTTAGTGACTAGGTTCAGCAGCTTTCATCTTTGTGATTCTGTCTCATGCATTATACTATCTCTCTTCACCTGCTCAGATCACTACAGTGAACAGCTCATTAAAACTAACCTCACTCAATCTCTGAGCATTTTCAGGAATTGAGATGACTTGATCTCATGTGTTTGTAAATGTTTCAGATAGTTCATCCTCTGTGATCCCTGCAATTGAACTGATATAAACAGTTAAATTTAACTCTGAATTCCTTTTTCTTCTGTAATCTGACTCATGTGCAAGTCTGCTGCTTTGAGACTACTCTTTATCACATTGCACTTACTGTCTGCAGTGTGTTATTGTACAACTGGCTACAGTCTCATCACTTATTAAAGTATGACATTCATCTGATTTCTTCATTTCTTCTCATTCTTTTCTTATAATTGTGAAAAGATCAGAATAAGTGAGATCATCTGATTTGTAAGTATCTATGATTTCTCTTACTTTATAAGACTTTTCAATTGTAAGCTTCTTCTTTTTCAATGCTGATAATAGTGCTGCAGATAATTATAATTCACTTAAGTTTTATATTTTTGCTTTCATAAGTCATGAATTATTGATTAAGTTGTATAAGATCTGTCTCTCTGATTCTTTCAATGTGTATATTCTCAGAGAATGTGATTTGAGTATTTTATATGACTCAAATCATCTAGGTTGGAACTTCTCAGAACTCTCATTGTGTATAAGAACTTATATTCTTATCTTGAGACTTGATTTCTTAACAAGTGAGTCTCATATTCTTTTCAATTGAATTGCTTAGTTCAGGAGTAACTTGTTAGCTTTTGTACATGTGTGGCTGATCTCTTTCAATCTTGATTTCATGTCTGCAACTGTTGTGTCTGCAACTGCTGTTTCTGCTGTGTCTGCAACTGCTGTTTCTGCTGCATCTGCAACTGCTGTTTCCTTCTCCACCTTTTTCAAAGCATTCTCTGAGATGCGCGGATGCAATTCATACAACAGGTAGAATGATGAACACTTGAAGACTGCATGCTGTTGAATCCGTGTGACTAATAGCATCTGACTGAGATATTCATTCTATAATCTTGTAGGCTTGCTCACTAGATATTTCATCAGCATGTTGTCTAAGATTTCATTCAAGTGTTTCATCTTCTCATTTATCTGCAGATGATATGACATTGTTCTACAATGTCTTGTCTGTAACTGACTCATGAAATGCCTCACTGCTTCTTCTATGAGATTCACACTGTTATCAGTTAGAATCTCACACAGCATTTCATAGTTGATATAGATCTCATTATGTAGAAACTTTATCATCATCTTCTTCATCATCTCTGAAACTGCTTTCACAACTGATCAGTCAGTAGTGTAGTCAATAGCAGTAATTATTCATCAATTTTCATTTAATGTTTGCAGTAATATGTCTATGAGATTCATCTCTCATTGTTTAAACAGTTGTATTGTACACTTCATCTGATGTTATACTTTCTCATATTCTAATCCTTTCTTAGATTCTTTTACAATCTGGCAATTCAGGCACTTGTGAGTGTATATCTGAATGTTCTTAATCATACTTGATCAGTACACTCTTAGTTTAAGTACATTTATAAGTTCAGAGCTTTCTAAGTGACTGAATTCCTTGTGCATGTGAGTCACTAAGTCACATTGAAATGAAGATTCTAGATAGAGAGCTTCTGTGTATTCTAGATTGTGATAAAGCACAATGTTGTTTTTCAATTTTCTCAGCTTGAAGTTTGAAAGCATCTCTTCTACTACTTTCATGAGATGCTTATCATCTGACACCTTGTCATTCTTCAAGTAAGAGATCATAGTATTCACTCATTCTGATTTCTTGCATTCTCTCAGTATGTTTAATGTGAATATCTCTTATGCCTGATTCACAGAACTCTTACTCATGAAATCAGATCTGTGACTGATTATATCAGATATTACTGTGTCTGATCTCTTTCAGTATTTAATATGAAGATTGTACACTTGAAACTCTGAGATTCAATGTACTAAGCATTTGAAAGATTTTGTTATTAATTATAGATAGATGAGGCTTTTGTGATCTGTGATCACTGTTGTTATATGCTCATTGTTGATATATCTATCTCATAACATTGTGGTTCGGAAGAACGTACGACTGTCGGATAATAACGCGGCCGCTTCCGAACTACTAGTGTACACGTATGAGTGTAAAGGGGCCATAGCGTATGCTAATTAATTTAGTGTATGAGATTACAATATAAGAAGCCAGCGTACATCTGTAATCATACACTGGCTTAAGCAACCTTTGAATCACATCTGGTAGCATGTCTAAAAACCGGTGAGAAGCACAGGCTCCTCCAGAGCATGATAATTCCACCTACAAAGTGATTCATAGTTATCATGCCAGTGTGGTTCTAGAATGTCTCAAAAGATAGTGTATGAAGAGCAGTGAGCAGAAGAGCATTCAATTGATGCTGCTGCTTCACTTGTTAAGAGAAAACTCCACACCCAGGCAAATGCCACATATGCGAACAGATGAGGTGTGAGAAAAGGAATGAGAGCAGTGAACCAGATTCAAAGGAGTTCACTCCCTACTCAAAAGAAGAATAAAAGAAGAGGGTGGCCATCACCAGAGTTGTACAATGATAACAGAAATCATATAACAATATAGCAATAGAATGGTATAGTGATATAATGATACAGTGATATAGTGATATAACAATAGACATTGTACAATCAATGAGAAACCACTGAGATGAATATCTTCCCTAGCTGATATGAACAACACTCTTCTCTGCTACCTGAACTGGAAGATATGCAGAACCTCTCAGAGGGTTTACTCAAAGCAGTAAGAAAAGCAGCTGAGACTGCTGAACCAGAATTGAAGCTTTGTACACATACAAGGATTCTAAATGAGATTGAGGCCTTGCATACACAGTGACAGGCTGAGATGGAAGTCAAACAACAATTGGCATTCACTGTGAATCAAGCATTCACTATGAAGAGCTTCACCGATGCAATCACCACCATCAATAAGAATAGAGAAAACCAGATCTTAGGCCTGCAGCAGAAGATTGAATGTTTACACAGACAGGTGACTACACTGAACCTGAAGGTCTCACCACAATTGTTCACAACCTCTTCAGGAGTGTACACATCATCAGAGACCACTGTGCAGGATGAGAATCTGAGCATGAAATACATCAAGTCAGAAGATCTGCTGAAGTCATCAAGCTTCAATGATGACTGAAAAAATGATGCTGCAATCAGCTGGCTAAGTCAGATGCAATTCTATTATTGAATTGAACATGAACTCACAGACAGACAGTTAATAAAATTTCAACAAGTCTTAAGATCTGCTGTGTTTCTATGTGAAAAAGTGAAGTCATTATAAATGACTGATGAAAAGATGAATCTTGCAGACCTGAAGTGATATTCATTCTCATGAACATGGAATGAGTTTTCCAAGTGAATCTTGCACAACTTTGAGAAAGTGAATATATGAAACAAGCATTATAAACACTTCACTGAGTGTAGATAAGTGAGTAATCTTACATTATACTTCACACACTTCAGCTTACACTATCTTATGTTGAATGAAAAGCTTTCAACATCTTTCTGTTTACAGATCTTCATTCATGATCTTACACCTGAGTTGAGAGTGAAGTGAAAATGCTTAACCTCACAGCCAAGCACAGTGAAAGAAGCATACAACATTCTTATCATACAGGAACAAGTGAGTCAATTGCAACAGAAAATACTGCAATTAAGTATATCTCAGTGAAGAACAGATAATCAGACTTCTATAACACAAGCTATACACTCAGACATAATGAATCTAGATCTGAATGCTATTGCTAAAGCACTGAATCCCTCAAAAAAGAGATTCTCTGAGTGGAAATCTTGATGTTATAAGCATTGAGCTTGTTTCAACTGCAGACATCAAAATCATGATGCAAAAGATTGCACTCAGCATGCACAGTCAAAAAACTAGCAGAATCAGTGAGCTCAGAGATACTCACTGATATTCTATGAAAAGTCTTCAAAGTGAAAGAGATGCCTGTGTTAGATAACTCTCTGAATTCTGTGAATGCAAAGAAGAAGCAGGCTTCTGACTGAGATGTGAGCGAGGATGAAGTGAACACTCATCTCAATGCCTTGAGGCCTGAAATGTTAATGTATAAGAGGCACTTGAATAAGAATTGAGAGATGGCTGCAAAAGTGTTAGCAGACACAGAAGCTTTGATACAATATATTGATAATTATATAATCTGAAGATTGAAAGAGGTCTGCTGAGTGAAGAATCTCTGACACATAAGATTATCTGATAATTAATATTTGATATCATCTGCAAGAGTAAGAGTTCCCTTGCACTTCAGAGAATGATCTTGCTATATTTAGGCATGAGAGCTGCAGAATGTGAAATACAACCTTATTCTCAGACTTGATTAGTTTCAAAGATTCAACTCACAGATTCAATGATGTACATGTCATATGCAGTTGACTGATAGGAAGAAAATGGTTCATACAATTCTACTAACTGATATGAGAAGAACATTCCACACCTCTGATATAGAAGGGTTAAATCTGCTTACATATTAACAAACAAAGAGAATGATTCACAAGACCTCATCTGAAAGCATTCTGTATGTCATACAGGACCTGGAAGTGAAGAAAATCAAGATAAAGAATATGCAGGAGGAAAAGTGTATGAAGAAGCTTCTGAAGAAGCATGAAAAGATCTTCTGAACAGATCTTTCACTGAAATTGCTGCTGAAACAAGGATTTGTATATGAGATTGACACAGGGAATGCAAAACCAGTCAATCAGAATGTATATTCTCTGTCACAAATGTATCTCAAAGAACAGAAGCATCAGATCACAGACCTTCTAGAACATGATCTTATACAATCCTCATCAAGCATGTGAGGCTTTCCAGTTCTATTTATGAAAAAGGCGGGTGAGAAGTGGCAGATGTGTATTAATTATCAAGCACTTAACAAGCTTATAATCAAGAATGAATATTCACTGCCACAGATTCAACAACAGTTGAATACAGTCAGAAACATCTGATATCTATCAAAGATTGATCTTCTCTCAGAATACTGACAGATCTGTGTAGACAAACTGTCAGTTCTGTGAACTGTGTTTAATATGCAATGAGAAAAGTTTGAATTCCTAGCAATGTCATTCAGTCTGACAAATGCACCTGCTATCTTTCAAACAATGATGAATACAATTCTTCATAAACAGAATGAAACCTCATATCTTATATATCTCAATGACATTCTAGTCTTTTCAAACTCATACAATAAACATCTGAAGCATCTTGATGAAGTGCTTACAACTCTGACAGAGTATAAGCTCTACATCAAATCAATCAAGTGTGTGTTTGAAATGAAAGAGTTGGAGTTCATGAGACATGTAGTGAGTGATGACTGTATACACCTTATCTTGAAGAAATTGAATATCATAGCAAATTGATCATAGCTGAGAAACATACATCATGTACAACAGTTCCTTGAGTTGGTCTCATATTATCACAGATTTATCAAGGATTTCACATGAATATCTGCACCACTCTCAGATCTCTTAAGAGAAATGAATGCAAATCTGTGAAAGAAGAAGTTTCATTCAATCATCTGAAATACTGTGTGTGAAGAGGCTTTTCTCACACTGAGAGAACATGTAATAACATTCTCAGTGCTTATTCAATCAGATTGTAATAAACCTTTCTACATTGAGACAGACACATCTGAATAAGCTATTAGAGGTGCTCTTCTACAGATGAGCAAGGACAGCAAGCTGCACTCAGTGATGTATGATGATAGAAAACTATCAGACACCGAGCTCAATTACTCAGTGTATGAAAAGAAATTACTAGTGATCAAGCATGTGCTGGCATTGTGAGATAGATATATTGACAACAGGCATATAACAACAGTGATCACAGATCATGAAAGCCTCATCTATCTACAATCAATAATAAAATCTTTCAAACACTTAGCACATTGAATCTCAGAGTTTCAAGTGTATAATCTTCATATCAAATACTGAAAGGGATCAGATGCAGTGATGCTGAATGCAATCAGTCACAGACCTGATTTCATGAGTGAGGGTTCTGCAAATCAGGCACAAGGGACATTTATGTTAAATGCACTGAGAGAATGCAAGAAATCAGAATGAGTGAACACCATGATCTCTCACTTGAAGAATGGCAAGATGTCAGATAACAAGCGCCTCACAAGAGTAGTAGAAGAGATGCTTTCAAACTTCAAGCTGAGAAAATTGAGAAATGAAAATAATGTTGTGCTTTACCGCGATCTAGAATATGCAGAAGCTCCCTATCTAGAACCTTCATTTAGACGCGACTTGATGACTTGCATGCACAAGAAATTCAGTCACTTAGAAAGCCCTGAACTCATGAGTGTACTCAAATCAAGAGCATACTGGCCAAGCATGACTGAGGACATTCAGGTGTACACTCATGAGTGCCTGAATTGCCAGGTCGCGAAAGAATCTAAGAAAGGGTTAGAATGTGAGAAAGTATAACATCAGATAGAGTGTATGATACAATCATTCAAACAATGAGAGATGAACCTCATAGACATATTACTGTGAACATCAAATGGAAATTGATGAATAATCACTGCTATTGATTACACTACTGGCTGGCCAGTTGTAAAAGCAGTTTCAGAGATAACAGAGAAGGTGATGACAAAGTTTCTACATAATGAGATCTATATCAACTATGAAATGCCGCGTGAGATTCTAACTGATAACAGTGTGAACCTCATAGAAGAAGCAGTGAGGCATTTTGTAGACCAGTTGCAGACAAGACATTGTAGAACAACATCATATCATCTGTGAATGAACAGAAAGATGAAACACTTGAATGAAATCTTGAGCAACATGCTGATGAAATATCTAGTGAACAAGTCTACAAGACTATGAAATGAATATCTCGGGCAGGCGCTATTGACCACACAGATTCAACAGCATGCAGTCTTCAAGTATTCATCATTCTACCTGTTGTATGAATTGCATTCACACATTCTGAAGAATGCTTCAGAAAAGGTGGGGGAGAGAGCAGTTGCAGACACAGCAGAAACAGCAGTTGCAGACACAGCAGAAACAGCAGTAGCAGTTGCAGATGCAACAGTCACAGACGCGGAACCAAGATTGAAGAAGATCAGTCATGCATGTGTAAAAGCTAACAAGTTACTCCTGAACTGAGCAATTCAATTGAAAAGAATATGAGACTCACTTGTTAAGGAATTGAGTCTCAAGATGAGAACATGAGTTCTTGTATATAATGAGAGTTCTGAGAAGTTTCAATCTAGATGATTTAAGTCATATAAGATACTCAAATCATATTCTCTGAAAACATACACATTGAAGGAATCAGAGAGATGAGTCTTACACAACTTAATCAATGATTCATAACTTGTGAAAGCAAAGATGCAAGACCTGAGCAGATTATAATCATCTGCAGCACTATCATCAGCATTGAAAAAGAAGAGACTTACAATTGAAAAGCCTCACAAAGTAAGAGAAATCATAGACACTTACAAACCAGATAATCTCACTTATTTCAATCTTTTCACAATTATAAGGAAAGAATGAGAAGAAATGAAGAAATCAGATAAACATCATACTTCAATAAGTGATGAGACTGTAGTCAGCTGTACAATAACATGCTGCAGACAGTAGATGCAACACAGTAAAAAGCAGTCTCAAAGCAGCAGACTTATACATGAATCAGGTCACAGAAGAAAAAGAAATTCAGAGTTGAATTCAACTGTTTACACCAGTTCAATCATGGAGATCACAGAGAACAAACTATCTGAAACATCTACAGACATATGAGACTAAGCCATCTTGACCTCTGAGGACACTCAGAGATCAGGTGAGGTTAGTTTTGATGAGCTGTTCACTGTAGTGATCTGAGCAGGTGAAGAGAGACAGTATAATATGCAAGACAGAATCACAAAGATGAAAGCTGTCAAACCTAGTCATTGAATGCTGTATTATATAGAGGTCATATAAGAGTAGTGACTAGCAGATAAAGAAAAAGTGTAAGAAAAAGAAAAGAGAATAATGAATTGATCATCAACTGTAAGAGTCAGCTGCAAAAAGATAAATGTTATCATACATACTTCATTCATTTTCATACATCACACATTTAATCTATTTCCAACACCACAACACCTGAAAAACGCCAAAAACAAAGGAAATCTCAAAACTCAA